GGGTTTTCCCCTGCCCCCCCCCCCCCCCCCCACACACACACACACACACATCCGGCGGGGTCTCAGCACCTCCGGGGGCCAGCAGGACCCAGCTCCAACCAGCTGGCTCCTGCCCTGCTGCTAATTTTGGCCCTGCCTGTGGCCACCTGCCTGTGCCGTGATATTTCCAGCCAAGATCGTGCCTGCCCTTGTGATGCCCACGGCAAGGTGACCTCCAGGCAGGGGCGCCCAGCTGGGGGTGCTTTGGGCCTGTGCCCAAGGCAGGGGCTGGCTGAGGTGGTGCCAGGTCCTGGCCAGGGGCAGGTGCCAGCCAGCCCGAACCCCACTCCCCTCCACACACACACATGCACATACTGCGGCTCTTCTCCAAGGCCTTGACTGGCGTGGCCTGCTCTCCCGGGTGCCGGGACATGCCACACACTGCATGTAGCCCCTGCGTACTCCACATGTGGGCCCTACAGATGTGCACAAGACAGGGGGCACCAGTGGACGCAGCTGGGTGCCTGGGCAGGGTGGGAGCAGTAGGATTTAGGTCCTCAGTGTGTCAGGGCCACAGCCCCTTCCAGGCCTTACATGCAGGCTCCTGGATACATGTACAAACCCCAGCTTGTGCTTGTGCACCCCTCCAGCCTGTGGAGCCTAGCAGGAGCCCCAGCCTGAGCAGGGAGATCCCCCCAGAGCTGCCTGCAGGGCTGGGCTGAAACCCGATCTCCCAGCCCAGTATACGCAGGCGGGGCCCGCACCCCTCTGCACAGCTGCTGTCCCTGCACCTGCTGCCTCCCCCCGTCCACCCCAGGGGCCCTTGAGCAGATCCCTGGGCAAGATCCAGTCCTGTTCCAGCCCCCAGAGCCAGCAGGGAGCTGGAGTGAGGCAGGGTGCCCCGTGGGCACTGCCAGCCCAGCCACAGTCCCAGGTGCCTGCAGGAAGGGCACACAGCAGGCAATCAATTGCCCAGAGGGGGGCACATGGGGGTCTTAGCAGTGCCCCCGGGACCAGCCCCTTCTGGGGAGCCTGCAGGGTCCGGCTCAGCCTGACCCCCAGCATTCCTGTCTCCCAGCCGTGGTGCCAGGGGCCAGAGCTCAGGTTACGCTGATGTGTCAAACTCCGGTGTTTGGCACAGCCCCGAGCCTGCGCCCATCCCATGCACCGGGCACTCTCCGGGCAAGGCCTCGGCCCTGCACCCCCCAGCACAGAGCCCCTGCTGCCCCCCTGTCCTCTGTCTGCTCCAGTGCCCACTGTGACCTCATCCCTTAACCCTTCTTCCCCGAGCCCCACTCCCTGCCAGGGGTCATTGTGCCTTTTGCACCTGGGAGCTGCCCAAGCCACTGCTCCCCCAAGGGCACTGGGGATGTCCCGACACCAACCAGGCCCTGGGGCCCGAGACCAGTCTCAGCACCCACCACCAGACTCTGTGGGGTGGACGTGAGCTGGGCCCCAGGACTGTTCCCCCCGCATAAATCATGGTGCCCTGCAGCTGCTGCCCCCTTCCTGCTCTGGGGTTGGATCCCTGGAAACACGATCTCAGCTGCTCTGCTCTGGTGCCAGCAAGGGCTGGGACAGGCTGGGTTGCTTGGGTGGGGGCCAGGGCACTGTGAGCCAGCACCGCATTGCTGCCTATATAAAGTGCTGGGCCGTCGGCCATGGGGGCGCTCAGCGCCCTCAGGCCGGTACCTGAGGGGATGGGCTGGTGCCAGCACTGGGGACCGCCCCCCCGGCAGGGCAGGGCAGCCGGGCACGGTCCTGGGGTTCCCATGGTGACTGCGGGGGGCAGCTCGGGGCAGGGGGCCTGGCACAGGCTCTGGCAACCGGGGTCAGCCCGGCTGCCGGGGCAGGGTACAAGGGCCACCACCATGCCCTGGCAAGGGTGAGTCCAGGCAGGGCCCAGTGCCTCCTCAAGCCCCACTCACATGGATCCAGCCCCAAGGGGCTGCATCTGGGCAGCCCTGGGGCGGGAAGGGGAAAACCTTCCCCAACCCCATCACTGCCCCGCACCCCCCCCCTGACCCGGGGTGAGGCCTGGGGGGGGAACA